CTACACAGCTAAGTCCACAGAGTCCCTGTTCCTCTTTCCTTATTTGGAGCCCTGAAGCCACGCCTCGAAAAAAAGTTACCTGGACAGCCAGACCACTGCAGTTCCTAATAGTGGATAGTGGAGCTATCCTCTGCTTCATGCTGGAAGAACTTAGGAGCGGGTCACTGTGTATGTGTGAGTGCTTCCTGCTGGGGCCAAATTAGGATGATGTTGTTCAGTCCCTCAGTCGTGTCTCACTTTTGCAACCCCATGGATGGCAGCAGGCCAGGCTTCCCTGTCCTTCACCATCTCTCGGAGTTGCGCAAACTCACGTCCATTGAGTTGGTGATGATATCCAACCATCTTGTCCTCTTGGTCCTCTTCTCCTGCCTTCAATCTTTCCCAGCATCAGGGTCTTTTCTAATGAGATGCCTCTTCACATCAGGTGGCCAAAGTATATAGGAGCTTCAGCATCAGTCCTTCCAATGAATATTCAGGATTGATTTCCTTTAAGATTGACTGGTTGGATCTCCTCACAGTCCAAGAGACTCTCAAAAGTCTTCTCCAACACCACAGTTCGAAAGTATCAATTCTTCAGTGGCCTTCTTTATAGTTCAATCTCACATCCATACATGACTACTGGAAAAACCATAGCTTTTACTATACGGACATTTGTAGGCAAAGTAATGTCTCTGCTTTTCAATACACTGTCTAGGTTTTTCATGGTTTCTCTTCCAAGGAGCAGGCATCTTTTAATTCCATGGCTGTAGTCACCATCTATAGTGATTTTGGAGCCCAAGAAAATAAAAGTCTGTCACTGTTTCCATTTCTCCCATCTATTTGCCATGAAGTGATGGGACCAGATGCCATGATCTTAGACTTTTAACTGTTGAGTTTTAAGCCAGCTTTTTCACTCTCCTCTTTCACATTCATCAAGAGGCTCTTTAGTTCCTCTTCGCTTTCTGTGACTAGGGTGGTATCATCTGCATATCTGAGGTTATTGATATTTCTCCTGGCAATCCTGATTTCAGCTTGTGCTTCATCCAGCCAGGCATTTCACATGATGTAATCTGCATAGAAGTTAAATAAGCACGGTGACAGTATTCAGCCTTGACGTTTCCCAATTTTGAACCAGTCTGTTTTTCCACGTCTAGTTGCGTAACTGTTGCTTCTTGACCTGCATACAGTTTCCTCAAGAGACAGGTAAGGTGGATGGTTTGGTATTCTCATCTCTTGAAAAATTTTCCAGTTTATTGTGATCCATCCAATGGGTATTGGCAATTTAATCTCTTGTTCCTCTGCCTTTTCTAAATCCAGCTTGTACAACTGGAAGTTCTTGGTTCATGTACTGCTGAAGCCTAGCTTGAAGGGTTCTGAGCATGACCTTGCTAGCACATGAAATGAGCACAATTGTGCAGTAGTTTGGATTCTTTGGCATTGCCATTCTTTGGGATTAGAATGAAAACTGACCTTTTCCAGTCCTGTGACCACTGCTGAGTTTTCCAAATTTGCTGGCATAAGAGTGCAGCACTCTAACAGCATCGTCTTTTAGGATTTGAAGTAGTTCAGCTGGAATTCCATCACCTCCAGTAGCTTCTCAGACAGTTGCCCTAGGTTCCTGGCCCCTGATGTACATATATCTTCTCCCAAATACCAATCAAATACTAAGCTACATGCTGCTGCAAAAGAATTTTGCAGATGTAATTAATATCCAAAATTAGTTGACCTTAAATTAGGGAAATTACTTGGACCTGACATAATCACGTGAGTCCTTTAAAAGCATTTTCTCTGGTGGTCCCAGTTTAGAAGTCAAAGATGTGCTCTGCCTTCCTTGGAAGAAAGTGAACATACATACTGTGAGCTGACTATAGGGGCCACACGCCCAGGAACTACAAATAGCCTCTAGGAGCTAAGAGTAGCTCCAGGCTGACTAGAGAAAAGTGGGAACCTCAGTGCTACAGACATAGGAAAATGAATTCTGCTGGCAACCAGTGAACTTGGAAGCCCAGATGAGAACTGCAACATCCTGGTTTCAGCTTGGTGACATCCTAAGTGGACAATCCAGCCATGTCATACCCATATGGCTGACCTGCAGAAAATGTGAGACAATAAATTCATGTTATTTTAAGCCACTAAGTTTGTGATACTCTGTTATGCAACAATAGAAAATGAATACACCAAGGAAGTCTGAAACTTTACCCGCTGAATTACAAGTCAGGAGCAGGACCTCTAGGACTGCGAATGTGCTATGTATAGATCTCGGGGCATCATTTACAATTGTTTTCTGTGTGAATGGAACCCTCTGAAAATGGGCAGTGCACACAGCACAAGTGTACATAGCAGTCCTGCAGAAGACTTGCCCTGTTCCAACATCTGGGTTATTTTTTTTTAGGCCATTTAACCATTTTAGATGGAGAAAGCAATGGCAACCCACTCCAGTACTCTTGCCTGGAAAACCCCATGGACGGAGGAGCCTAGTGGGCTGCAGTCCATGGGGTCTCGAAGAGTCGGACACGACTGAGCGACTTCACTTTCACTTTTCACTTTCATGCATTGGAGAAGGAAATGGCAACCCACTCCAGTGTTCTTGCCTGGAGAATCCCAGGGATGGCGGAGTCTGGTGGGCTGCTGTCTATGGGGCTGCACAGAGTCAGACACAACTGAAGTGACTTAGCAGCAGCAGCAGCAAACATTTTAGTAGAAATGAGAGGATGGGGTTAGGTGTATCTGAAGGTCCATACCAGCTCAACATTTGGAGTGTTTAAGTATTATTTTGCAGCTACTCCACCATACACTGCCCTTCTCAGTCATACCTTCTCAATCTAACCTCTCCCTTCACTTAAATACATCTACCGGTAGTCTGTCTTTCTTAAGGAACTGTTTGCCTTATTAACAAATATGACTTTGAGGACAGAACTAGCTGGTAGTTATGTTGGGAGGAAACCACAAGAGAACCTCTCTTCCCCTTTTTCCTTTTGATTATAAGTGAACCTGAGACATTTAGCTTTAGGTAGCTCAAGAGGCTTAGGATCAGTGGGTAGTTCTTTTCAATCCCATCAATCTGTTGAACAGATCAACACATCAGAAGGGGTCATTTTGAGTAGTGCTGACTCACTTGTTTCCTTGGAATGAAGCTCAATAATGAAAAAAGACATGACAAAACCCAAGTCTTTCAGGAGAGCCTTAAAGGACTGTCTGAGAAAATGTGTCTAAGAGACAGGAAATGCAGTTAACTAGCACAAAATCAGTTCTTGCAAACTCAGTTAAGATAAAGTCATGCTAAATGTGGGCAAAATCGAACCTTGAAAACAAGTCAACGTTAATTAGTCTACATTCTTCTCCACTTCTGCCCCATTATTCCCACTAAGGTCTGACAAGGTATCAGCCACTGTGACTGCTCTGCAGGGGGTCAATATGTCAAGACAATTTAAGGGTATGGCTTTGGAATCCTAGACTCTACAGTTAACATATATATAATATAGACTGACATGTTAGGGCTGATATGGGGTGGAGCAAGATAATACTTGTGTGGTATAGAACAGTGACTATCAAATACAGTCCAAGGATAGATGATTTTTCACCAACCATAAAAAGAAAAGCATGGCCAAAATTGTGAATCTCTCATGAAGACACAAAGATATCCTTTATATATGTACTCATGTTAATACGCTATTGTTACTCTTTATTCCCATGCTCCTTTTCACTCTTTTGCTGTCAAAATGTCTTTTATGAAATAATGGTGATAATAAATCACATCATTTTAATACATTCCCACTTGGCAAAAGAAAAAGTTGGCATCCATGTTGCAGGAAGGAGGACCCCTTCCAGGGCCCGAAACCGGGCTCTTGTCTAACACATGGAAATGAATTGTCCGAGGAGACACATGTGCTGACAAAGCAAGAGATTTTATTGGAAAAGGGCGCCCCGGTGAACAGTAGGGTCAGGGAACCAATAGCTGTCACATGGCTTGCAGTCTCGGTTTTATAGTGATGGGATTAGTTTCCCATTGGTTGTCTTTAGCCAATCATTCTAACTCAAGAGTCCTTTCTGGTGGTGCATCTTGTTCAGCGCAGATGAATGCCAGAGAGAAGGATTCTGGGAGGTGGTCGGACATGTGGTATCTCATCTTGACCTTTCCCGAACTCCTCAGGTTGGTGGAGGCTTATTAGTTCCGTGTTCCTTACCAGGACCTGTCTAAAACAACTCTTGCAAATGGTTACTATGGTGCCTGGCCAGGGTGGGCGGTTTCAGTGTGCTTCCCCTAACAACTATGGATCTTCCTCCAACTTTTTAAGAAATTTCTGGCAGCACTGGCTCTTTATTTCAGCACTCAGGCTCCAGCACTTGGGCTTAGTTGCTCTGTGGCAAGTGGAATCTTAGTTCTTGGACCAGGGATCAAACCTGTGTCCCCTGCATTGCAAGGCGGATTCTAAACCACTGGACCACCAGGGAAATCCACTCCTCAACTTTTTAAAAAATATATTTTTTAGTAGTATGTAAAAATACAAGATTGGGAACCACTAGTCTCTTTCTCTGGTGTGAGACTGCTAGAAGTAGAAATGGACTTAGAAAATCAGCAATTCTAAGGAAGGTAGGTTTAAATGAACTGGAATGATCTAGGGGATCACTTTTCAAAATTATCTGTGTTAACTTCATGAAATTCAGTACTGAATTAGAAAAATTGGTATGCTTCAAGAACACTGAAGGAGTAAACCAACAGAGGAAGATGCGGGATCCAGGGAACAAGATGCAACACAGGAGTGGTGAAGAGAAGTCCTAAGGACTGCCCCTGCGCTCTGCACCCAGGCAGCAACTAGTCAATGCAGGAAGTATAGGGGGACAAAAGGGAGCAACTGCAGGAAAGCAATGCTCTGTGAACAGCAACTCGATCGCACTACACTCACAACCCAAGCAGGGAGCTGTAGTCACCTGCTCATCCTATCAGTGTCCCAGCAAGGAGACGATGGGAGCTGTGAGATAAAGCAGTGACCCAGAGCCACTACTAACAGATGCCATCACCCCTAGGCCCAAAGAGGCAAGGAGAGGGAGAGGTCAGTGGAAAGTGGAAGCAGTCGTGTGGAGTTGGTCACCATGAGGTTCAGTGACTTCTGGCTGAGGAACACATCTGACCTGAAGACACCTTGAAGGGAAGGAGCCAAGGAAAAAAATACCCTGACCTCACACTTTCCTTTACTCCCTCCCATCTCCTGCCGCAGATACCACTGGCCAAACCAACAGATGCCAGAGGTCACAGGAAGCCCAATGAGGTAGTCCATACAGCTTTCTTGAGCGGGAGGGTAGGGTGAGGGAAGCAAAGATTTGGAGGGACAAATGGAAGACATCTAGAGCACACATGATGATATATATACTGATCAATAGGTAAAATTTTGCAAATTTTGACTCAAAATTTACAAAAATAGTATTTGGAGGATGTATGGGAGAAGAGGGAATATAGTGTAAAATAGCTATATCTCAGTCATGGCAGAAGTCATTAACGTTTACAGCTGATAGCTCCAAACACTGTATACATGTATCACTTAGAAATGTGAAGATAATAAAGGAATGAGAGTAGAGAAAGAACATTTTTCATTTAACCTATCCTAGCATTGCTCTACTATGAACATCTGCTACTTTCACAATATAGTTTTTAATACCTTAAAAAGCAATCCAAATTAATCAACTGGATTTAGCAGCTAACAGGAATTTATCTAATCCCTCAGGTGCACTGGGGTAGAAAAGCTGAAACAGACTCATTTCTATCAAAGGAAGTTCAAGGTGGATCAATGACTTAACCAGACAGAGTTTAACAGAGCCTCAGTTAAGATCCAGGACATCATTGGGGACCCAAGGCGGGGGGCGTTCCTTCTAACTTCTCCTTGCTTCAGAGAGAACAAACATTATATAAAGATATGTCTTGCCATCTTTGAATATTTGTATATCCCAATAGTAGAGGGAAGAAGCCCAGGGATGAAAGACCATGTGGACAGGCCCAGACCAGCAAGTAACTTACTTGCTCACTTCACTGTTACTAAAACCCACTAACTTTAGGGTGTATTACTATGGAACAAAATAACTGACACAATCTAAATTTTTTTTTAAAAAGAAGAAGTATCACTGCCCCATAACTATTCTGATGCCATCACACTATTCCAGTCCTGCTTTCTGATGTGGTTAAAAAATCTTGCTTTTAAATATTTAAAAGAAAAAAGAACAACAAGCTAAACTGAATATTTAATACATTTGTAGGAACAGAAGGAACAAAACAAGGATTAGAATTTTATATTACACATTAGACATTTATGTAAAAGATGTTTCATTTTCCAGAGAGGTTTCCCCTATTTCCCTGTCTTTTCTACTTCCTCAGAGCAATAAATAGTAATTACTATTCTCACAGATAAGCTACTCCTTTGAGTTGGACAGTAACTACATCTTTATTTCAAGTTTTTATCATCTCCAAAAACTACCTTTCATTTGACTGCACAGTCTCACTGCAATGTTTCACAGTAAAATTACACTACTCAAATCTGAAGAGCCTGAATAAAAGCTAGAGTCCCCAGGGACTTCTAGGTACTGACTTAGTAACAGTGTCTACTGGCACAAACCTTATATATTCATTCATATTTTTAAAACTGCAATAAAGGAAATGAAAGCTACTTTAATGAAAAAGGAACTCAGGAATGAGGTCGTTAAATATAACTAGCTACATTTTAAATACAAATACCAGGTATTCCCTGATTAGTGTCAGGTAAACATCTAAACTATTAATATCTAACCCAAATTCTGGTCTTGGAAAAAGATCAGAGACAATTACAAAGAAGGTGCTTCATAGTATCAGGTCCATTTTTAAAACAATGAGATCCTTCGGGACAATCAGTTTAGTCTTTCTTTTTATCACAAATTTCTGTTGGTCCTCTTGTTGGTAATCCATTTATGTCTGCACCCTAAAATGAAAAAATATTTTAGATATCATTACAAAAAAAGAGACATTATAAGAGATATTCTCTTTAAAAACACAAACTTCAGAATGAAAAAACTGGAAACGTGCAGGATGGCTAAATTCATGCAGGTGATTGAATTTAATAATCACCAACACTAAAGAAAACACAGTTGTCTAAATATTCATTTAAAAAATAACTGCATTACAAGAAGAAAACCTCTATGAATCTACTCATTACATCTCTTATCAAAGTTATCAATCAGAGAAACTGGCCTATTCAGAATCATCTTTTGTTCTCTATTAGCTATTTACCATTACTCTTACCAGACAGGAAATGCTGTTACTATCTTGCAAGTAGCCAATGCATAAATCAGAGGACTTACTTAAAACCTTAATTTAAACCAAGTGTTAATTATAAATAGAAAACTCCAAAGCCCTATTTTAAAAAAGAGAAATTTAGACTTTATTTTTTTTTTGAACTTTTTCTTTTGTATTAGAGTATAGCTGATTGACAATGTTGTGATAGTCTCAGGTGAACAGTGAAGGGACTCAGCCATACACATACATGCATCCATTCTCCCCCAAAACCCCTCAAATCCAGGCTGCCACATAACACTGAGCAGAATTCCATGTGCTATACAGCAGGTCCCAGTTGGTAATCCATTTTAAAAATAGTAGTGTGTATATGACCATTCCAAACTCTCAAACTATCTCTTCTCTCTGGCAACCATAAGTTCGTTTTGTAAGTCTGTCTCTGTTTTGTAAGTAAGTTCATTTGTATAATTTATATAAGGGATATCATATGGTATTTCTCCTTCTCTGGAAATTTAAACATATTAATGAAGCTTCTGGTTCAAAGAACTTAACTTTCCAAAAGTCACTATGGTTCAAAGAACTTGATTTTCCAAAGTCATTATTTTACCCTGACTATACTGCCCCGACCCATTCAAGGCATTTTAATGTTCTTACCTTATAGTCTACTTTGCCTTTGTTTTTATCGTTGGTTTCTCGTATAGCTTTCCGAGGCCACATACGGCTAACAAAGGGGGAGATCAGAGGGTATATATATGGCTCCAAGAACTTTTTGTAGACCCAGAGCAGAACTGGAATGACGATGCAGGGAATGCACACCATTGTCCCAGATGTGAGTTCCTGAACTATTGACAAACAGCAGAAAAAACAAATTAGATCATCATAGACTAATGACTGAAGGAATATACCTAGATTAAAATATATGAAAAGACTATTTCTACACTGAAGGAAAAACATAAATCACACTACAGGTACTATTGTAAAGCAAGAGTCTATTCATAAAAATGCTGCTATCTACAAGGGAAAAGAGCAACAGGTGGTAGACTTGAAAATAAGTGAGAATAAGCCTGCCTCCAAAACTTTCCAATCACTGTTTCACAACCATAAATTTGGTGATAAAGGAAAGACAGGGCTTCCCAAGTGGCTCAGTGATAAGGAATCCGAAGGCCAATGCAAGAGACATGGGTTCAGTCCCTGGGTGGGGAAGATCCCCTGGAGAAGGAGATGGCAACTCACTCTAGTATCCTTGCCTGGGAGATCCCGTGGACAGAGGAGCCTGGAGGGCTACAGTCATAGGGTCATCCAACACTTCTTAGCACTGAGGATGAGGCAATTAAGCCCTTTACCCACATCAACTCAATTAATCTTCAAAACACCTAGTCAGGTTGGGTACTCTGGCATTTCCATTTACATATAAAGAAAAGGAGTCACCAAAACATTAAGGAATTCGGAGTAATTACTGGTGAATGAGTAAGCATTGTTAAACTAGGCAATTTAAAATGATTCACAATACAAGCGAGGAATGATATAGATAATCCAATCTGAAATAAAAACGTACATGTACATCAGGGAATGACCACTATTTTACAAAGGATTCATAACTGGATTCTTTAAAACAGTCCTCTAGTCTCAGGTGGCACGAGTGGTGGTAAAGAAACCACTTGCAAAGGCGGGAGATGGAAGAGACGCAGGTTGGATCTCGAGTAGGCAGATCCCCTGCAGGAGGGCACAGCAACCCACTTCAGTATTTCTGCCTGGAGAATCCCATGGACAATGGAGCCTGGCAGGCTACGGTCCACAGGGTCACAAAGTCAGACACAACTGAAGCCAACTTAGCGCACACACGTGCTAGCCAAATTAAAATAATTTAGGAATTTGCCAAAAATATTTTGCTCCAAAATTTTAAAGAACATATCCTCTGATCAAAATAAACCAAAGAAGCAAGAGTCTTTTTCAGCATTTTACAAGGAATATTTTGGGCTAATAGACTTTTAGAATCTCATCTGAAGAGCTTCAGATTGGTTTAGGTCTTACAAGTACCACAGCATAATAATCAAGCAGGAACCAGGGCAGCTGCCTGGATTTGAGACTGCTTTCATTATTTTCTAGACAGTGTTCCTGAGCACGTTACTTGACCAGACAGTGCCTTAATTCTTCCATGTGTGAAAAGAAGATACATTAATACCTATATCAAAGGGATGTAGTGTGGACTAGATAATAGGAATACAAACCTCAGAACAGTGTCCGCATATGGTAAGCACTATTTAAGTGTTGTTACTAAAAGAAAAAAAACCCAAAACAGATTCAAAAATTGTAACCTGTCCAAAGCCCACACTTTAGGTAACTGGAGCTGGCTAAAACCAGAACTCCTAATTCTAGTTTCCTAGCTAAACGCTCTTGCATTTTCCCTTCCCAAAACACATAATCATCATGTTATTCCCCTTTCTAACAAACTTTAAAAAACAACGAAACCCTTCAAAACAACTGGCAATGCTACCGAGCACTAGGATAATACAATGACTTGCAACCGTTCCATCATAAAGATTCACGTTTCTAACCTACTTGAAATTGTTTTAAATAAATTCTCAAGAACAATTTCTACTAGTTACTTCTGTCATAATTATGGCTTAGAAAGGCCTAAAAACTGTGGCTTAGAAAGGTCTAGAGGTGGCTATGATAAGTTGATAAAAAATAATTTCATTTACTGTCTCCAAGCCAATTATCGAATATTACAACACAGATAAATGGATCGAAACTGTTGGAGGAGAGGAATTTCTTTCATTCGACTCAGTCCAATACAATGGAACAGGAAATAGCTGACGCTCTATGAGAACAGGCAGCAGCTGCGGAGGGGGAACGTCAGCTCCTGGAAGGAATCAGTCCTCCAGAAATCGGTCTGGAGACAAAAGAGAGCGGGACAGGCCGAGTCAAAGGTAAGGACTGAGAGACAGGAGCGAGGAAGAGCGAAAGGGGGGGGACGATAATAAAAAGTGATACCGACAGTTCAGGCCAGAGAGCGGATCCGGAGTAAGAGGAGGAAGGAGCGGGTGGACGCGGGCGCAGGGCAGGCAAAAGGCGAGGTGGGCGGGAGGC